CTGTAAAGATACGGAGTCATCGTCGCTTTATTGACATTATTTAATTGAGATGTTCCATATTAAGAGGTGGAAGGGGGGGCATTTGAAATGAATGGGGTATCTGTAAATGGATCGCCCATTCTACACATACACACATAGCACAATCCATATATATAAACAGACATTGCATTGTGCCCGATTACATAAAAAAAATGTTTTACATACACAAAAAACAAAGATCCCCCGTATAGCCTTCATAGACTGTAGGAGCAAGTGCTGTTAGCGAGCACCTCTACATAGACACACGTACATACAGACACAATAGTCGCGTTAATTCGTAGTTTGACGACTCCAACACACATATAATTGCCGTTTTATTTTGACCCAAATTATGTGGAGTGGTCAAAGTTAAATTGCCTAGTTTTGACCGAGTTAAAATAATCGTTGTGTTCATTATGTAAAACGTAGCCTAATTATTTAATAGGTAAGATGCGATGGTGATGTCTACCGGCATTCAACGGTACTTTGCGGTCAACACTTCATCGGCAGAAGTTGCTATTGGTGCTGGTGCCAGGCCAGGTGCACATCCTGCCCATGTGTACAACAACAACAACAGCAGCCGCCATTCGCCACGTAGTGTCGGTGACGTCACCGCGGTGCTTGTGCCAGGCTACGTGCACGTGAAGGCTGTACACACAGACACACATATACACAATCACACACATACGTCTTGTATTCTTGCTTTGACAAATGCAGAGGGGGGGGGCAAAATGCACTACGCGGTGACCGACGCCGCCGTGCTGTTTGTACGTCTTGCACGTGCCAATCAAGGGCGCGTGCATTCCTCACCATTGCCGGAACGGGTTGACGCGATTTTGAAAACGGTTACCGGTTTTGATCCGGTTACGTTTTCCCCCAAAACACACGCATTTTTTTTTTGTTACGAACAATTCCGCACTCGTGAAGCCACAGTTATGATGACATTTCGTTGTCTGTAAAACGATACGTCTCGTTCTAATTTGACTCGTATGTATATAGGTATCAAAGTTCACATATCGCGTGCATCAGTCATTATATGATCGTATTAAAAAAAAAAACTATGTTAATAATTATAATATATTAAATTGCATATGAACAATCATCGGAAGGCTGATGATATTCGTTAGGGGGCGATGGATGATTCAGCCCATCATCGCGCCGTCCGGGGGTCGATAAAATCAGCACCACTTCGCGGAAGGAAATCAACAGTCGTTCTGTGGACTGCCTCGTTCCCGCCACGGGAACGTGGAATTTCCATCACCGGCTCGGGTGGACCGTAAACGGGAGATGCGCACAGCCTTTGGTTGTAGTTTGAACCACGAAAATAACTTTGAGCGTGTAGCGTGTCGCGTCCAGTGCTCGCTGTCGGCTTTAGCGTCACACTCCGCGGGGGAGGCGAATTACTCGGTCCACCGACATTGGACCGAGTAATGTGGTGTGATCGTGGTCGGGGGAGTGGTGGTGAAGCGGCGAGCGCACCACGCTACGAAACTCGGCGATGCCCGAGTTCGATTCCCGGGCCACGGCGACCAACACCCAGAGACGATTATCTGAACCGGTCATGGTCCGCCCCTAGGTCGACTCAGCCTCAAATGGGTCCCTGGCGCGGCGTGTAAACATCGCCACTGGGGAGACAAAGGCGGACGGGTCTAGTGCTGGCCACCCACCGCCTCGCGCACAGTGCCGGCCTTCATAGGTGCTATCGCTCAACAGCACTTGCCCTACAAATCTGTGCAGGCTATACGGGGGGTCTTTGATCGTTGAGCGGTTTTCGAGACAGCAGCAATGTGGAACTGGAGGCTGGGTCTGCAAACCCAGTTACTTTACATTCCACAGTTAGTGCTTCTGTAGTTAACATCTCGCCACGGTGGCTAGGAGATGTTAACTAACCTCGCCCGGTATACAGGGGGTCGTGGGTTCGATCCCGACCCTGATGCCTGCTGTGTATTTGGAGTTCGCGGTGTCCCTCTCTCATCATCATCATCACGGTGACTAGGAGATGTTAACTAACCTCGCCCGGTATACAGGGGGTCGTGGGTTCGATCCCGACCCTGACGCCTGCTGTGTATTTGGAGTTCGCGGTGTCCCTCTCTCATCATCATCATCACGGTGGCTAGGAGATGTTAACTAACCTCGCCCGGTATACAGGGGGTCGTGGGTTCGATCCCGACCCTGACGCCTGCTGTGTATTTGGAGTTCGCGGTGTCCCTCTCTCATCATCATCATCACGGTGGCTAGGAGATATTAACTAACCTCGCCCGGTATACAGGGGGTCGTGGGTTCGATCCCGACCCTGACGCATGCTGTGTATTTGGAGTTCGCGGTGTCCCTCTCTCATCATCATCATCACGGTGGCTAGGAGATGTTAACTAACCTCGCCCGGTATACAGGGGGTCGTGGGTTCGATCCCGACCCTGACGCCTGCTGTGTATTTGGAGTTCGCGGTGTCCCTCTCTCATCATCATCATCACGGTGGCTAGGAGATATTAACTAACCTCGCCCGGTATACAGGGGGTCGTGGGTTCGATCCCGACCCTGATGCCTGCTGTGTATTTGGAGTTCGCGGTGTCCCTCTCTCATCATCATCATCACGGTGACTAGGAGATGTTAACTAACCTCGCCCGGTATACAGGGGGTCGTGGGTTCGATCCCGACCCTGACGCCTGCTGTGTATTTGGAGTTCGCGGTGTCCCTCTCTCATCATCATCATCACGGTGGCTAGGAGATGTTAACTAACCTCGCACGGTATACAGGGGGTCGTGGGTTCGATCCCGACCCTGACGCCTGCTGTGTATTTGGAGTTCGCGGTGTCCCTCTCTCATCATCATCATCACGGTGGCTAGGAGATATTAACTAACCTCGCCCGGTATACAGGGGGTCGTGGGTTCGATCCCGACCCTGACGCCTGCTGTGTATTTGGAGTTCGCGGTGTCCCTCTCTCATCATCATCATCACGGTGGCTAGGATATGTTAACTAACCTCGCCCGGTATACAGGGGGTCGTGGGTTCGATCCCGACCCTGACGCCTGCTGTGTATTTGGAGTTCGCGTTGTCCCTCTCTCATCATCATCATCATCACGGTGGCTAGGAGATGTTAACTAACCTCGCCCGGTATACAGGGGGTCGTGGGTTCGATCCCGACCCTGACGCCTGCTGTGTATTTGGAGTTCGCGGTGTCCCTCTCTCATCATCATCATCACGCTGGCTAGGAGATGTTAACTAACCTCGCCCGGTATACAGGGGGTCGTGGGTTCGATCCCGACCCTGACACCTGCTGTGTATTTGAAGTTCGCGGTGTCCCTCTCTCATCATCATCATCACGCTGGCTCGAGGATGTTCACTACCTCGCCCAGTATACAGGAGGATTCGATTCCGACCTTGACGTCCGCCGTATATTTGTATATTTGCGTGTCTCTCTCTGTGTCTCGCCGTGGTCGCGTGGATTTTTCTCCGGATCCTCCGAGTTTTCGCTCCACACTGAGAAACACGCTTTTAGAGTCTTTGGCTGCAGTAGATTTCCACGCGATGGTCATAAGCCACTTCGTTGAGCTATCATTTGCGCCAGGTCGCTTCTCAAAAAGAACCGTGTAGCTCAGTGAAAGACAAAAAAATACATGTATAGTCCAGGTACGAGCGTCAAACTGAAGCTCTCCAAGACCTTCGCGAACATCGGCAAGATTACCACCAGCGGCCTATTTGTAGACGTTACGTGTGTTTATGTTGATCTGTCCACGTGCGTGTCTGTGTGTGTGTCTACGCTATAACCATCATCGGTGTACGAGCGCAGTTGTTTACACTGCGGTAATTGAGTGGTCGATAGAAAATGACGCGTCAAATAAGTTCAACATTAGCACGTATACTGTACACACGACCCTTACGTGAGTTAACGCAATGGCGATGATGATGATGATAATGCAGATGCTGCTGATTATGCTGATGATGATGGTTTTACTGCTACCCGCTGCTGCTCATTATGATATTGCTGAAGAGGCATGTGGATATGATCATGATAATTATGTTATTTACGGAGTTGCTTGTATTGCTACAGCTGGTGATGATGATAGTGATGCTCCTGATGATGACATTTTAATAGAGATACTGCTCCTGCTGCTGTTGCTGCTAACGATGATGATGCTGATGATGATCAATATGATGACAGTAGTAACGATGTTGCTGATGATTATGCGGATTTTGATCTTGCTGATGATATTGCTGCTACTATTACAGCTGATACGGATGATAACAATGCTGATTATGTTCATGGCAACGTTGATTAATGCTGCTGCTGATGATGGTGTTGATTACAGTGATAATTAGTGTGTTGCCGATCATAGCAATGATGTTAGTGATGATGCTCAGCTGCTACTGCTGATGATAAAAATGAGGATGCTGCTGATGATGCTGACATTGATCATTATAGTGATGCTGTTGCGGATGATGATGATGATGATTATACTTTTGCTCATATGTTACTGCTGTTGCTGCTGCCGATGATGATGCTGATAACAATGATAGCAGTGATGCCAGTGATGCTGCTGGTGATGCTACCGATGATGACGATGATGATGATGCTGCTGATGATGATTCTGCTGCTGCTGTTGATGATGATGCTAGTGCTGCTGATGATGAGTCTTCTGCTGATGATGATGACAATGCTGCTGTTGCTGATGATGGTGCTGACAGCACTGCTGATGATGCTACCGATGATGATGATGATACTGCTACTGCTGTTGATGATGGTGAGTGTTCTGCTGCTGATGATGATAATGCTGCTGATGATAACAGTGCTGCTGATGATGCTACCGATGATGATGGGCTGATGATGATGAGTCTTCTGCTGTTGGTGATGACAAAGCTCCTGTTGCTGATGATGATTATGACAGTGCTGCTGATGATTGACTACCGATGATGACGACGACGACGATGATGTTGAGGATGATGTCGATGATGATATCATCTCATTTCCCCACCTATCCTCGCAGCCAATCTCTTAAACCACGACCGGAGCGCTTCCCCGCGGGACGATCTCGATCCGGGAGACGCGTTGAGGCAGGACGAGCACTCCACCACCACCACCACCACCATCAACAACAACATCAACAACATCATCAACAACAGCGGCAGCAACAACAACATCATCAACCACGCAGCGAATCTCTCTGATGCCATCTCGCCCAGAGACTCATCCCCTGTTTCTCACGCTCTGCAGGGGATTGTAATTGTTGGTGGTGGCAGTGGTGGTGGCGGTGGTGGTGGCGGTGGTGGTGGCGTTGTGATGGGAGGTGGTGGTGGTGTGAGTGGAGGTGGTGGTGGTGGTGGTGGCGACGCGTCTGTATTAATATCGCAAAGCAGCGGACCTCCGAAGCCAAAACTCTGGTCGCTGGCAGAAATTGCATGCGCCACTGATGCCAAGCAGAATCAACTGCCCACGCAGCAGCAGCAACAACAGCAACATCATCAGCACCACCACCACCACCATCATCCGCATCAGCAGCAGCATCATCAACAGCAGCAGCATCAGCACTTGTGCGCCTTGGCCAACGGCGTCGTAGGCGGGACCGGCTCTGGCACCGCGTGCGTTTATCCCAATTCCGCGGGACTTGCAAGACCTGTCTATTACAGCTCCCCCTTCTATTCCGCATACACGGGCTACGCTCACTTTGCCGCGCATCATGGACTCGGCGGCCTGACAGCCACCGGTGGAACTCATCAGCAGCAGCAGCATCAGCAACAGCAGCAGCATCAGCACAATAATCAGCATCACCACCACCACCACAGCAACAATAGCAACAGCAGCAGCAGTAGTAGCAGCAGCGGTAGCGGTAGCAGCCAACACCATCAACAACACAGCAACCACAACAACAGCAGCAGCAGCAGCAGCGGCGGCAGCAACAGCAACAACAGCAGCAGCAGCAACCAGCAGCAACCGCTGGCAGTCGGAGGCCGCAGCGTATCAACAGTTGTGCCGATACCACACGCAGAGACAGCTTTGGCCACACAGGGGCCACTGAGGCTGTTGGAACTTCCCACGGCAGCAGCGGCAGCAGCAGCAGCAACGGCAGCGATTTGTGCTGTGCAGCAGCAGCAACAGCACGCGGCTACATCACCGCAGACAATGATGGTGGTGGGTGGGGGGCGGCTGCCGGCACCGCACGGCGCTTTTCAGCTGCAGGTGGAGGGCAGAGGGAGCCCCCCTCTCCTCCTCCTGCAGGAGGTGAAGAGTCACAGGCACCCCGGGGCGGGCGGCTACACGGAGACTCAGAGAGACACGGCTTGCGACTTGCGAAAAGGTGAGCTGGCGGGTGAAGAGGGTGGGTGAGTGAGTGACAGGGTGAGTGGGTGGGTGGTTGCGTGGGTGAGAGGGTGGGTGAGTGACAGGGTGGGTGGGTGACAGGGTGGGTGCGTGACAGGGTGGGTGCGTGAGTGAGTGGGTGCGTGAGTGAGTGGGAAGGTGGGTGGATGAGAGGGTGGGTCGGTGAGAGGGTGGGTGAGTAAGAGGGTGAGTGACGGTGGGTTGGTGAGTGAGAGGGTGGGTGGATGAGAGGGTGAGTGAGATGGTGAGAGGGTGAGTTATACGGTGGGTGGTGAGAGGGTGAGTAAATGCGCGAGTGAGTGGATGAGTGTGTGAGTGGATGGGTGTGTGAGTGGATGAGTGACTGGGTAGGTGAGTGATAGGGCGAGTTCGTGAGTGAGTTCACCAGTAAGCAACTGAGTGAGTGAGAGGTTTGGTGAGTGAGGGGGTAGGTGGTGGAGTTGATGGGTGAGGAATCTCACGAGTGAGCAATTGAGAGGGAGAGTGAAGGTGAGTGGCCTCTGTGAATATGTGCATGGGTGAATGGGCGAGAAGGTGAGTGGATGGGTGATCGAGTGAATTGGTGGGTGGGTGGGTGAGTAGGTGGATGAGTGAATGGGTATGGGGTGGGTGAATTAGTGAGTGCGTGAGCGAGTGACTGAGTGAATAGGTGGGTGAGTGGGTGGTTGAGTAGAGGGGTGAGGCGGTGGGTGGGTCAGCGAGTGCATGAGTGGATGGGTGGGTGAGTGGATGGGTGGGTGGTTGAGTGGATGGGTGGATAGATGAGTGAATGGGTGGGTGAGTGGATGGGTGGGTGAGTGGATGGGTGGGTGAGTGGATGGGTGGGTAGATGAGTGGATGGGTGGGTCAGTGGCTTCAAAGAGCCTCATCGGTACACAGAGGAACCCTTGAGGGAAGGTGGGTGGGTGGGTTGGTAAGTGGATTAGTCAGTAAATGGGTGGGTCGGTGGGTGGGTGAATGAGTGAGTAGGGTATGTGGATGATGGCTGAGCGAGCGAATCAGTTGGTGGGTTATTGATGAAGTGAGTGGATGGTTAAGTTGCTTGAGTTGTAAGACGGATGAGTGAGTGGTGTGTGTTTGAGAGTGAGTATTGTGTGTGTGTGTGAGAGTTTGGGAGTGTATGGGTTAGTGAGTGAGATTGTTGGCATGTGGGTGAATGTACGAGTAAATGAGTCGTTTGGGTGAGTTGAGTAATTAGCGAATGAGATTTGTGGATTCATTATTCGTACGTATCGTTATAGTTTAACACGTAGGCTTTCGCGACCAGATTTTATTAATAATAAAGGTTTTTGTGGTAAGATCGCGTAAGTATTAATGTTGTGTCGTAACCCTCCACCACCCGACACAGCCAATCAGTACGGGATTTGTCACGTAAACAAAACTTCCAAATAGTTACTACTTCAACCCACCGGTGTGTTGGAGAGTAAATCCACAACATTTACTATTCGTTATACTTATCATAGCTATGCCCTCGTAATATAAGCGCAACACTTTTTTAATGTGTGGGTTGTTCAATGTGCACGAGGCTAACATACGTGACAAGTCTCATCAGATCCTGTCCGGGGCCTCCCCTGGGTCGACTCAGCCTTAAATTAGTACCCGTTGCTACGTGGAACAAACATTAACACTGGGGAGAGACATAGGCGGCCGTGCATGGAATTGGGCACACCCCACCCCAAACTCTTTGTGCCGCGCCGGCCTTCGTAGGTGCTCGCTAACAGCACTTGCCCCAACAGCCTGGTAGAGGCTACACAAGGGGGCTCTTTGTCTTTGTGTATGCAGCATGTAATAGTCGATCACTAATGCTACTGACCCAAAGCATCTGCAGCGTTAGGTTAAAGAGTCAACACGATGTTTGTAGAAGTGTTTGATAGCCCCGACGACTCGTCAACGAAACCGGGTGTTAACCTTAAACAATACAACGTGAAATACGCGACGTTTCGGGCAACGGCCCTTCATGACGCACGGTTTGGGAAGGCTTGCGTGCAGCAGTGGATCGACCATGGCTGTCGAAGATCGATCCCGCTTTATCGATAACAGCCTTCATTCGCAACTCAGTGGCGGTGACGTGACCCAACACAGCGCCCGTGCCAGGCTAGGTGCACTTGTGATTTGTCATGCTTTAATGGGTGCAGCGCACTGCCCCACGGCTAACATCAGTGGCGATTATCTGAGCTGGTGTTTTAGAAGCGTGTTTGTGTGCGTAGCGTAGCGTGGCCACCCACCTCATCGTGTGCGTTGCTGCTACTCGCTAACTGCACTTGCGCCAACAGTCTGTTGAGGCTATACGAGGGATCTTTGTCTTTGTCCCGCATAGTCCGTGTGTATATGTGTCGTGGTGTCTGCATGTGTTTAAGTACTTGTGCGCGTATCACGTAGCGCATGCATACAAAGTCGGTGTGTCCGCGCGTATTTTTAACTGTTGTGTGTATTTGTGTCACGCTTACGAGTGTACTTTCTCACCGGTTTCGCGAGTGTTGCATGCTAACGAGTCGCGCATACCACTGCACACGTGCATACGCATGTACGCTTGTGTAACATCGTTTATATCTGGGTAGGATTTCCATGCACCCTGACATGGGGAGCGGTGGCGCAGCGGTTAGCGCGCCGCGCCTACGAACCCCGGCCGTCCGAGTTCGATTCCCGCTCACGGCTAACAACCAGCGACGATTATCTGAACCGGTCCTGGACCTCAACCTAGGTAGACTCAGCCTCAAAATGAGTACTTTCTTGCGATGTTAAAAAAAATGAATCATCGCCACCGGGGAGATAAAGGCGGTCGGGCGTGGTGCTGGCCAACCACAACACACTGGTGACCTCTCTCGGCCTCAATAGGTGCTCGCTAACAGCACTTGCCCCAACAGTTTGTTGAAGGCTACACACGGGGGGATCTTTGCGCGAGAATGAACTTTTTTTCTATTTTTTTTTTTTTAGCTCCACGATAAAAGGCATGCCTCACTTGTTCGGCAAATACGTCCAATGGTCCGTACATAAGGCGATAAGAACATCGATTGTTCAAGCGGCGAGACTGCAGTTTTACAAATTCGCACGCAGACCCGCTCCAGCCCCCCCCCAACCCACCCCCATCCCGCCCGATCCATTTCTAGACACTTCACTAAAATCTCAAGACGTTTCGGAAGCAACACAAGCCTCCGCCATCAGTTGGGAACTGCTACAGCAGTTCTACAGTTGTAGTAGCGCGGTCGTGCCGAGCATTTCGCACACACACACACTCCACGAACAGCAGCAGCATCGCGGTTATAATGAATAAAAAATAAAAATAAATAATAAACTCTTGGGATTTTTTTTTTTTCTCGTGACTACAAGGATCCATACTCTTTGGGCTTTTTTCGGTAAAGTCACGTGGGTGAAAATTTTAATAAATCAAAAATGAAAACAACTAAATTAAACCACGACGTTTCTGAAGCAACACAAGCCTCCGTCATCACCTGGAAAAAAAAAAGTATGGAACCTTGCAGTCACGAAAACTTCAAATCTAGAAGAAGAAAAAATCCCAAGAGTTTATTATTTATGTTAGATTCGTGATAATCGCGATGCTGCTGCTGTTCGTGCAGTGTGTGTGTGTGAAATGCTCGGCACGACCGCGCTCGCGATGCGGGGATGTGTAGGCGGTTCGATCTCCATGGCGCGGCAGTCGGGGATTCGAAGGAGTTCGACTTCGCCACGAGATTCCACTCAGATGTGGAGTTCCCGGCTCTCCTCCCCCACCATCGCCACGGGAGGGAGGGTTGACTAGGCGTTCTTTGATAATATACTTTCTGTTGGGTTAGATCTCGTATATATATAAATGTGTCGTTAAACCCGCCACCACCCGACACGGCCAACTAGGAAGGTTTGTGTCACGTAAACAGAACGTGGCAATTCGTCACTCGTACAGCACTAATGTGTAGTGTATAGTGTAGTGTATAGTGTAGTGCAGTGTATAAGTGCAGTGTATAGTGTAGTGTGTAGTGTAGTGCAGTGTACAGTGTAGTGTATATGTTTAGTGTACTAGTACAGCACTAGTGTATAGTGTAGTGTATAGTGTAGTGTATAGTGTAGTGCAGTGTATAGTGTAGTGTATAAGTGTAGTGTACTAGTACAGCACAAGTGTATAGTGTAGTGTATAGTGTAGTGTGTAGTGCAGTGTATAGTGTAGTGTACTAGTACATCACTAGTGTATAGTGTAGTGTATAAGTGTAGTGTACTAGTACAGCACTAGTGTATAGTGTAGTGCAGTATATAGTGCAGTGTATAAGTGTAGTGTATAAGTGTAGTGTATAGTGCAGTGTACTAGTGTATAGTGCAGTGTATAGTGTAGTGTATAGTGTAGTGTATAGTGTAGCATACTAGTACAGCACACCAGTGTGTTGGAGAGCAAATCCACAACATTTACAAACTGAGTACGACGTTTCGCCAGTAATTCCAACTAGCCTCATAAGGCAACAGCCAGATATCTGTATTTCCCTACCTTATCTTTCTTTCCTCTTATAATTACAATATGGAAGAAAAAAATCGTAACACTTTTTTGCTCGATAAAAAAAAGCTGTTCACCTATTTATCTATTGTTACTCCGTTAATCGTACTGCTTGTCACACGCGTTGATTTTTATAAAAAAATAAAAATAAACAACCGTTGAGCCGTTTCCCAACAAAACTGTCAAACAAAAATCAAAGTTTTTAACAATGAATAAACTAACTCCATCATCAATAGGTAAGCGCCACAGGCCTAGCGAACAGACAGGTGAGGTGGCGTGTGGCGGGGGTGAAGGTGTGATGACTCCCATCCACACGTGACGGGCCCCGCGTGGAACGACACACATCCTGCTGGAGTGGCTACAGAGAGCAGTTGCAGAGCTGCGCCTTTAACAATGACACTTGTAGATCCCCACCACTCTGTCCCTCCCCATTGATAGTCAGGTGTCCTTCGCTTTGTGCGGGTTGCGTTTGTGCGATTTCGCGTAAATGCGGCTCACCAATTGGCTCGATGCGGTTTTAATGAAACTGTTCATGCGGCTATGTGGTTGGAGATAGGGCAACGCTGTGTGTTGTACTGTGTATGTACTGTGTATGTATTGTGTGTGTACTGTGTACACTGTGTGTACACTATGTGTACTGTGTATATACTGTGTATGTATTGTGTGTGTACTGTGTATGTATTGTGTGTGTACTGTATATGTACTACGTGTACTGTGTGTGTACTATGTGTGCTGTGTGTGTACTGTATGCACTGTGGGTGTACTATGTGTACTGTGTGTGTGTACTGTGTGTGTGTACTGTGTATGTGTACTGTGTGTACTGTGTGTGTACTATGTGTAGTGTGTGTGTACCATGTGTAGTGTGTGTGTGTACTACATGTACTGTGTGTGTACTATGCGTACTGTGTGTGTACTATGCGTACTGTGTGTGTACTACGTGTACTGTGTGTACACTGTGTGTGTACTGTGTGCACACTGTGTGTGTACTGTGTGTGTACACTGTGTGTGTACTGTATGTGTACTGTGTGTACTCTATGTACTGTGCGTACTGTATGTACTGTGTGTGTGTACTGTGTGTGTACTGTGTGTGTGTACTGTGTGTGTACTGTGTGTGTGTACTGTGTGTGTACTGTGTGTGTGCTGTGGGTGTACTGTGTGTACTGTGTGTGTGCACTGTGTGTGTACTATGTGTACTGTGGGTGTACTGTGTGTACTGTGTGTGTATACTAGTGTAATATGTGTACTGTGTGTGTACTATGTGTACTGTGTGTGTATTATGTGTACTGTGTGTGTGTACTGAGTGTGTGTATACTAGTGTACTATGTGTACTGTGTGTGTGTACTGAGTGTGTGTATACTAGTGTACTATGTGTACTGTGTGTGTACTGTGTGTGTACTATGTGTACTGTGTGTGTACTATGTGTACTGTGTGTGTACTGTATGTGTATACTAGTGTACTATGTGTACTGTGTGTGTACTGTGTGTACTGTGTGTGTACTGTTTGTACTGTGTGTACTGTGTGTGTACTGTGTGTACTGTGTGTGTACTGTGTGTACTGTGTGTACTATTCCTGCAAGAGGGTCGCGTCTCGTGCCAATCTCGCTGCACTTATTACATCATTTGGCTCTCCCACATCTTGCAAAGACACGGGGCCAAAGTGTTCTCTACCGCGGGATTGACTCATCGCCTGTTGAGTCGAACGTGCGATAAGAGATGGGGAGGGGGGCATAAGACGATGGGCCATCGATCAATCGATCGCTCTCTACGCATGCTGAGACACGCGCATTTTGAGTCGAACACGTTGTCTGATGATGCTAAGTTGTAATTACTGGCGAAACGTCGGACACGAATGGTAAATGTTGGGTTTGCCCTCCGACACGTCCGATGTTGCTGTGCTAGTAACGAATTGGCCACGTTCTGTTGATGTGACAACCCCTTACGCATTGGCTGTGTCGGGTGGTGGCGGGTTTAACGACACATTTATTATATGTTAACGCGATCTAACCCAAACAAAAACAAACAACCTCTATTAGGAGTTTAGAGTATTTGGCTGCGGATAAATGTCCACGTGGAAAGTACACTTTGTTGAGCTATCATCGCTAAGTGACGGGGAGTTTCTTGATAAAATAAAATCCATACTCATTGGTTCTTTCGGTAAAGTCACGTAGGTATACAATAAAATAATAAATCACGACGTTTCGGGCGCAACACAAGCGTCCGTCATCAGGTGAAAGAACCACAGAGTATGGATTCCTGCAGTCACTGAAAGCTTCTAATCAAGATTAAACAAAACCTAGTTTAGTTGTAATAACTCTACTTTAGTTCGTATTGTTTACACATCACGTTTACTTCAGTTGACTTGAATGCCCGTTTAACTTTCGCCACTAACGTTATTATTATTTTTGTGTAAACACAGTATCCTTGATTTTTTTAGTATTTCTCCGAACAGTAAATAACCGGCGCTGTAATGACACCTTTACACCAACCCGCACTGACCAGAGCGGTGAAGTATGGACGAACACCCCCCTTTTCCACCACGCCCCCTACCCCCCATAACCAGCACGGACTTGGGGTGAGTCCCGACGGTCATCCAGCAGTGGATTTACAAAAAGCGCCTTCCCCCCCCCAATCTCGCACCGTCAAAAGCAAGTGTCCGTTTGACTGCGCTAACCGCTGCGCCACCGTTCCTCGCGTGACGACTTGATACAGATTGTAAATGTTGTGGATTTGCTCTCCAGTACACAACCGGTCTTTCTGTGCCAGTAACGAATTGGCGGCTTCACCGACACATTTATATTTACACGATCTAACCCCCCCTCCCCCCCCAAAAAAACCCAACTATAATGAACTTTTCTCATGTGTATGTGTATTTCAGATTCAAAGGACAACCGCCATTGCCTCGTATAGAACGCGCTCTTACACGACTGCCTTATTCAAAAGGTTTTTATTGCGGTGAGTTCTCATCGCAACGGCGTATCACAAATCCACGTCCGACGCTTCGCACGCACGGCACGCACGGCACGCACGGCACCCCATCAGCACGGGTTTCGGCTACGTGCGTTGTGAAAGAAGTCCAACATGTGTTGCACATAGCAGCAGAACATTGTCGTTGTACACCGCGGCTGTCCGGCATGAGTGGTTCATCCGGTCGGCAGGTAGGTCACGTGTGGTGGGGGGTATAAGCGTGGGTGCCCCGGCCTGTGGCCTGCGAGGAAGAGTAGGCCAAATACCCTCAAACGGGGGAGGCTCGATAGAGATTCATCTCGTGGAGGCCTTTCTGATAGCAGTGGCATGAGCAGGGAATTGCAGGGCTGCGCCTAACAATAATAATTCACTGTGCCCCATTCTTAATAGTACATGAAGAAGGGGTCATGACCAGAAACGTCGCCGAATATATATTTGTTTCATCGTTCAGGGCCGTATAATGTTATTGACACACGGGTTGCATTTTACAATTAGTGTAGGCAAAATATAAAATGTAATGTGCTGGATTCACTGTTTCTCAGTGAACCTGTGTAATCATTATGAGCGGCACTTTTCTGTCAATCCACTGCTGGATGAAGGCCTTCCCACGCAGTGGCAACTTCTCACGTGGTGGTCGTTTGGCCATACCTCACCCGCAGCTGGTCAGTGTGGGTTGGTGAAGGTGGGGAGCATAGACTTTGCAACATAGTACAGCACAACGATGATTTATTTGCGTTCGTGTACATGACATTCGGCGATCGTTCCAATTACATTGCTGAGTATTCTTAGGTTTTTTCGGTAAAGTCACGTAGGTAAAAAATAAAAATTGTAATTAATAAAAGTAAAATAAAATAAATAAATAAAACAATTACCTACGTGACTTTACCGAAAAAACCTAAGAATATGAATCCTTGCAGTCACGAAAGCTTCAAATCTAGAATACATTGCTGAGCCAGTGGTGTACATTCCACATTCCTATGACGGGGGCAAGTAGTTCCACATTGCACTCTATGCTCGTATAAAGTACGTTTGGCTCATAGATGGTGTTCTGTGTTTGAATTAAGGGCAGTGTTAAATATTTATTATTGCAAGTTAAGATAGATATGTATTTCTTATTGCAAGTTAAGATAGATATGTAACCAACTCTGTTCGCCACTAAGTGGCGGTGACAGAGCATGCGCCAGGCTGGGCTGGTGCCAGGACTGGTGCACCTTGAAACGATGCGTATATCAACTCATAAACGTACAGACACACATTTCTACAACACACAAAGTATATTCAACACAAACACACCCAATTAACACTCATTCACACGGATTGACATTAAGACAAAATGAATCGATGCTTGTACTGTGTCTGTGTGTGTGTTTTTTGCGTGTCTATCTGTTCGTTTTGGTGTGTGCATGCATTTGTATGTGTCCCTGTGTATGTCTGTATATATTATATATTTGTTTGTGCATGTCTGTGTGTGTCTATTTGTTTTGGGGTGTGTATGTACGTGTATGTGTGTCCCTGTTTATGTATGCGTATTTTTGTTTGTCTGTGTGTGTCCTTGTGTGTCTATTTGTTTTTGTGTGTGTATGTGGATGTGGGTCTCTGTGTGTGTCTGTATGAACAGTATGTGTATCTGTGTGTGTGTGTTCGTTCTGTGTGTGTCTGTATTTGTATGGATGCATGTATGTATGTGTGTCTGTATGTTCGTTTGTCCTGTGTTGCTGTATATATCTGAATGTATTGGTGTGTGTGTGTGTAGATGTATTTGTGGGCGTGTGTATATGTGTTGCTGCATGTGTGTATGGCTGTCTCTGTGTCTGTATGTATGTGTGTGTGTTACTGGTTTTACCCGTGTGTCTGGGTGGGCTGCAATATGTGTGCACGTGTGTGTGTGTTGCTGTATATATGCGCGTGCATTTATCTGTGTGCGTGTATGTGTGTCTGTCTGTGTGTGTGTCGCTGTGCCAACATGTGTTTCAGGCAGAGGTCGCTGTATCACCAGATAGATGAACTGCACGCTCCAATTACTGTGCGTGAATGCACGACCGTGTACACACACACACACACGTTACACACATTGCAAGACAAAGATCCCCCGTATAGCCTCAACGGACTTTTGGGGCAAGTGCTGTTAGCGAGCACCTATGAAGGCCGGCACGGCACAAGAGGAGGTGGGTGGCCATCACCACGCCGGGTCGCCTTTGTCTTCACAATGACGATGTTACCACATTGCACCAGGTACTCGTTTGAGGCTGAGTCGACCTAGGGGAGGGTTCGGGTTTGTGTTACACACAAATACATACACATGTAATACACGCGCTCACACTCACATACACACACTCACTATCACACTCACACACTCTTTCTCACTCGCACACAATCACACACCCACCCTTACACACATTCACACTCCCATACACCCTAATTCACACTCACTCACACTCACCCTCACTCACACTCACACACAATTACACTCACACACACCCTCACTCACAATCACCCTCACTCACACACAATCACACTCATACAATCACACTCACACACACTCACTCACACTCACCCTCACTCACACGCAATCACACTCACACTCACTCACACAAAATCACACACACTCACACACAATCACATACACCCTCACTCACTCACACTCACTCACACACACACACCCTCACTCACTCACACACAATCACTCACACTCACCCTCACTCACACGCAATCACACACACTCACACACAATCACACACACCCTCACTCACTCACACACACACCCTCACTCACTCACACAAAATCACATTCACTCACACTCACACACACCCTCACTCACACACAATCACACTCACACACACTCACTCACACTCACACACAATCACACTCACACACACTCACTCACACACAATTACACTCACACCCTCACTCACACACAATCACACTCATTCACACTCACACACAATCACACTCACACACACTCACTCACACACACCCTCACTCACACACAATTACACTCACACACCCCTCACTCACACTCACTCTCATTCACACTCAATCACACACAATCACACTCACACTCACTCACGCACACCCTCACTCACACACAATCACACTCACACACACTCACTCACACACACCCTCACTCACACACAATCACACTCACTCACACAAAATCACACACACTCACACACAATCACATACACCCTCACTCACTCACACACACACCCTCACTCACTCACACAAAATCACATTCACTCACACTCACACACACCCTCACTCACACACAATCACACTCACACACACTCACTCACACTCACACACAATCACACTCACACACACTCACTCACACACAATTACACTCACACCCTCACTCACACACAATCACACTCATTCACACTCACACACAATCACACTCACACACACTCACTCACACACACCCTCACTCACACACAATTACACTCACACACCCCTCACTCACACTCACTCTCATTCACACTCAATCACACACAATCACACTCACACTCACTCACGCACACCCTCACTCACACACAATCACACTCACACACACTCACTCACGCACACCCTCACTCACACACAATCACACTCACACACACTCACTCACACACACCCTCACTCACACACAATCACACTCACTCACACAAAATCACACACACTCACACACAATCACATACACCCTCACTCACTCACACACACACCCTCACTCACTCACACAAAATCACATTCACTCACACTCACACACACCCTCACTCACACACAATCACACTCACACACACTCACTCACACTCACACACAATCACACTCACACACACTCACTCACACACAATTACACTCACACCCTCACTCACACACAATCACACTCATTCACACTCACACACAATCACACTCACACACACTCACTCACACACACCCTCACTCACACACAATCACACTCACACACCCCCCACTCACACCCACCCCCATCCACACTCAATCACACACAATCACACTCACACTCACTCACGCACACCCTCACTCACACACAATCACACTCACACACACTCACTCACGCACACCCTCACTCACACACAATCACACTCACACACACTCACTCACACACACCCTCACTCACACACAATCACACTCCCACACACTCACTCACGCACACCCTCACTCACACACAATCACACTCACACACACTCACTCACACACACCCTCACTCACACACAATCACACTCCCACACACTCACACACAATCACACTCACTCACACTCACTCACACACTCACACACAATCACACTCACACTCACTCACTCACTCACACACACCCTCACTCACACACAATCACACTCACACACACTCACTCACACACACCCTCACTCACACACAATCACACTCCCACACACTCACACACAATCACACTCACTCACACTCACTCACACTCACACACAATCACACTCACACTCACTCACTCACACACACCCTCACTCACACACAATCACACTCACACACACAATCACTCACTCACACACACTCGCTCACTCACACATAATCACACTCGCACACAATGGCACTCACCCTCCCCCTCTCACCGCGAGGAGGAGTTGGAGACTGATGATGATGATGAAGACGGGGAGAGTGCATCTTCAACTTTTGTACATTGCTACACGAAAAGTAGTTATTTTCTGTATCTGTAGATCAAATGCATTGTCTCAGGTTTATTAATGAACGTGCTATTAATTTATAATTAGAATTTATTTCGAACAAACGAGAGAGCGAGTGAGTCAAGTCGGCTCCACACCTGAGCAATCAGTTGCGCATTCAAACCCTTCTCAAAGTGTCAACCCTCGCAAACATCCGAGCGGAGAGTTGCGCAATCAACTAAAGCTCAGTGCGTAAAAAAACCCACCATCATATGCCAAATACCGGTTCTTAGATTGATGGTAATTCATCCTCGTTACCATCATCATCATCATCGTCGTCGTCAACTTAATTGCCTGCAACTGATTTGTCCGCATCTGAGCGAGAAGTTGCGCAGATAGGAAATTAATGGGCGTGTTCACGATCGTGACGACCAATCATAGTGTCGCAACTGCGTCACGTGGTGATGACGTCTCTATAAATAAAAAGAAATCGACGAGCAGATCGACGGTTGAGAGTCGAGTCTGTGTCTACTGTGAGCAACCGGTTGCACGCAACTCGTCGCAACCGGTTGTGGGCAACTCCTCGCAACCGTTTGTGCGCAAGAGATGTCGACATATGAGACACGGCTCAGCGTCAGTGCGTTTGCCGCTCGTTTGCAGTGCAATTCGGCGGCTGCCCTGGTTAATACTGCGGTATTATTACGCGTGTCCGTCTGCTTCGTACACAGCGGACGTTAAAAATCGCGTGGCGTCATTAGCAAACAGGAGGCCATTATGTCCCCACGGCGCCGGGGTACATATTCGGCGAAAAAAATGAAGGATTAAACTCTGATATTTACTCAATTGGAATGTGAATAGCAGTTAGCGCCACCCTATTGCGAAAACTTGGCGAGACCCCTGCGAAAAAAGGGTTTTGAAACGCTACGAGTATTCCCATCTTAAACAAGCCCAGTAATAATACTGAAAAATAATATCAGCGAATTATTCGGTGATGCCTCTGGTGCGTGGTGCACGAGCCAGAGTGACTAGGAGATGTTAATTACCTCGCCTGGTATACAGGAGGTCGTGGGTTCGATCCAGACCCATGACGCCTGCTGCTGTATATTTGGAGTTTGTGGTTTCTATCTCTTATCATCATCACGGTGGCTAGGAGATGTTAACTACCTCGCCTGGTATACAGGAGGTCGTGGGTTCGACCCAGACCCATGACGCCTGCTGCTGTATATTTGGAGTTTGTGGTTTCTATCTCTTATCATCATCACGGTGGCTAGGAGATGTTAACTACCTCGCCTGGTATACAGGAGGTCGTGGGTTCGATCCAGACCCATGACGCCTGCTGCTGTATATTTGGAGTTTGTGGTTTCTATCTCTCATCATCATCACGGTGGCTAGGAGATGTTAACTACCTTGCCTGGTATACAGGAGGTCATAGGTTCGATCCAGACCTTAACGCCTGCTGCTGTATATTTGGAGTTTGCATATTCTTTCTCCACCGTAGTCGCGTGGATTTTTCTCCGGGTTTTCCGTCCACATTTGGAATCATCATCACCCCGCTCAGAGGATTTGGCTGCTCTAAATTTGCACGCAATGGGCCACTTTGTTGAGCTATCATTTGTGATAGCCTGGACGCTTCTGAACAAGAGCTACATAGCTCGGTGGGGCCTCACCTGGTCAAATAAAAAGCACAACAACAACAAAAACAACAACAAAAAACGCGTGTGTCAATAACACGGTGGCCTTTAAAGAGGAGGCCTATCAAATAGGCGACGTTTCGGGCAATGGCCCTTAATTCACAGCACACGGAATGAGAGAGAGAGAGCGGCGCAACTGGTCACTCTGGTGTGAAGACGACTTGAAAACAACACACGGTATTTAAACAAACAAAACACGAATAGGAAAGAATAACATGTTTTGTAATGCGATATGAAAGTCTATTGATTTAAAATAAGCGGGGGGGGGGGTGGCAGGAAAATTATATAAATATGACATATATCAAAAAAATGTTTGTAAAATATTGCAAGAACTCATTTTTGAGCGTTTGTGAATTTTAATGTCATGGCAAGTCCTGCGGTATTGTTATTAATATTAATATTTATTTTTGTAATTGCAAAAATGCTTTTACTACGATTATGTATGCAACTGAACGCGCACACATACACACGCGTATCAACACACAGACAGTGGTCACCCATACAGCCATACAGACTGTTTGGGGCGTAGAGCTGTTAACGAGCACCTATGATTAAGGCCAATATGGCACGTGGTGAGATGGCGTTGACAACTTTTACACACCCGTCCGCCTTTGTCTCTCCTCTGCTGAGTTCTTCACACACTGCACTAGCTACGTAATAATTTGAGGCTGAGTCGACCTAAGGGGGTACCACGTGCAAAGTAAGAGTGTAACATCGCTACCTTTGCTGTTACATGTGCACCTGGGATTGGCCTGTGCCTCGCCGACGTCGACTCAGCCTCAAATGGGTATCTGTTGCGTTATTTGTGCGCACAAACACACGTACACACAAAGACAAAGGCACCCCCTCCCCCCGTAAAGACATGCAGGCTGTCGGGGCAAGTGCTCTCGGTGAGCACAAATATCACACAAGAACACAGACGCGCACACTTGTTGCTTGTACATACGGAATTGAAATGCCATGCGTTGCGTGTGGTTGATGATTGTGTAAATATATATATAAAGATATATAAAAAAAACAGAAGTGACAATAAACGATGGTTTTGGCTTACGAGTGTTTTGGGGCCGCCGTGTGGAGACGCTGCCTTTATTTGCTGAATGTTCTTTCGGCATCGTCC